TTCCTGTGTTATTTCTGTGTTATTACTGCGTTATTCCTGTGTTATGCCTGTGTTATTTCTGTGTTATTCCTGTTTTATTACTGAATTATTCCTGTGATATTACCGTTTATTTCCTGTGTCATTTCTGTTATTACTTTGTTATTCCTGTTATTTGTGCTATTACTGAGTTATTCCTGTGTTACTTCTGTTATTACTGTGTTATTACTGTGTTATGCCTGTGTTATTGCTGTGTTAATCCTGTGTTATTAATGTGTTATTCCTGTGTTATTACTGAAATTACTGAGTTATTCCTGTTTTATTACTGAATTATTCCTGTGGTATTACTCTGTATTTCCTGTGTTATTTCTGTTATTACAGTGTTATTCCTATTATTTCTGTTATTACTGAGTTATTCCTGTGTTACTTCTGTGTTATTACTGTGTTAATCCTGAGTTATTACTGTGTTAATCCTGTATTATTCCTGTGTTATTAATTCGCTATTACTGAATTATTCCTGTGTTATTACTGTGTTATGCCTGTGTTATTGCTGTGTTATTACTGTGTTATTAATGTGTTATTACTGAGTTAATCCTGTGTTATTCCTGTGTTATTACTGACATTACTGAATTATTCCTGTGGTATTACTGTGTATTTCCTGTGTTATTTCTGTTATTACAGTGTTATTCCTGTTATTTCTGCTATTACTGAGATATTCCTGTGTTACTTCTGTGTTATTCCTGTGTTATGCCTGTGTTGTTGCTGTGTTATTACTGTTATTACAGTGTTATTCCTGTTATTTCTGCTATTACTGAGATATTCCTGTGTTACTTCTGTGTTATTACTGTGTTAATCCTGTGTTATTCCTGTGTCATGCCTGTGTTATTGCTGTGTTATTACTATGTTATTAACGTGTTATTACTGAGTTATTTATTACTGTGTTATGCCTGTGTTATTGCTGTGTTATTACTGTGTTATTAATGTGTTATTCCTGTGTTATTACTGAAATTACTGAGTTATTCCTGTTTTATTACTGAATTATTCCTGTGGTATTACTCTGTATTTCCTGTGTTATTTCTGTTATTACAGTGTTATTCCTATTATTTCTGTTATTACTGAGTTATTCCTGTGTTACTTCTGTGTTATTACTGTGTTAATCCTGAGTTATTACTGTGTTAATCCTGTATTATTCCTGTGTTATTAATTCGCTATTACTGAATTATTCCTGTGTTATTACTGTGTTATGCCTGTGTTATTGCTGTGTTATTACTGTGTTATTAACGTGTTATTACTGAGTTATTCCTGTGTTATTACTGTGTTATTCCTGTCTTACTACTGAATTATTACTGTGCTATTGTGTTATTCCTATGTTATGCCTGTGTTATTACTCTGTTAATCCTGTGTTATGCCTGTGCTATTGATGTTATCCCTGTGTTATTTTGATAGAAATGTAGTGGAGTGAAAAGTACAATATTTGTCTTTCAAATGTAGTGAAGTTAAAGTCATAAGTTCCCAGAATAAATAATACTCAAGTAAAGTACAGATACTCAAAAAGTGTACTTAAGTACAATACTCAAGTAAATGTACTTAGTTACTGTCCGCCTCTTCATATGATGTTGCTAAAAAGAACATTATTTTGTTTATTTGGTGTAATGAAATGTGTTTATGTGGTTTAAGGTTAAAACAACACATTATTTTCCACATACTGTACATTATTGTTTCTCCTCTATGCCCCGCCTTTCTGAAACGCGTCGATTTTTACAAAGCTCATCGGTCTGAAAAGCGAGGTGTGCTGTGATTGGCCAGCTATCCAGTGCGTTGTGATTGGCCGAACACCTTGAGCGTGTGACGGAAATGTTACATTCCTTACCATATTGTGATGCCTTGTCCGGCCGGAGCGACGATTCAAAAACATTAAAACCCATTATAAACATCTGTTGCATCCAGTGGGGACATAATTACGTATTATAATGACTTGTACTGACTTTTTACGCGTTGCCTTGCATCGCACCTTGTAAACATAAAACCATGTCTGTATTTGTGACAAACTGACAAAACTCGTTCAGAACAAAAAATATGCTGTTTGAAAATACATAAAAAAAACTACCATAAAAAATTCAGTTGTGTTAAATTTCAAATGTTCAATATTCAAGTTAAAAAAAAATCTAATTCAGAACTATGTTAAATGCCACATTAAATTCTGTTTTGTTAAATGACACTTGTCAATAATTCAAATTTACACAATTCAAATTCAAATAGTTTTGACATACTATGAGCTCCATAACTATCAGGGTTAGGTGCATCTACACCCTTGTTAATCAGCTATCATTTCACACTAATTTTAGGAATAAATTATGGGTAGGGTTAGGTTTAGGGGTAGGGATTGGGTTTAGTCTAGTTTTTGGACAGTAATGTTGATCCAGGATCAACAAAAGATGGAAGACAATATTTAATATATACATGGGCCTATAATTTAGTATTTTTTCTCTAATGAAAAGTAGTCTGTTCCCTGTATCCTCTTTTGGAACTATTTTATCAATAAAGATATGGACGTGCATTTATGTGTTTAGTCTGCTGAAGTACTATTTATTTTGTCCCTTACATTAAAATATTTCATGTTTTTGAATTTTTTGTTGTAATAATATTTATTTCACAGTATAGGAACAACAGCATAAAAGGGAATGCAAGTGTATTTACTCTTCAAAGTTAAGTACACATCAGTGAGGATTAGATCTCTGTATTTAGTATCATGTTCAATATCGTGGAACCAGATGGCTGAAAGCTGAAGCCAAATCAAAAAATGGTGCATACTAAAGAAAGTGAAAGTGAATGCTACAGAAGTTATTTCTGAGTTCTTTTTTTTACTCTTTTCATTCATAATGACAGCTCAAATAACTAAAATATATATAACTGTTTTTTGTAAGTAGCCTATTAAAAAAGTTAAAGTCAAATAAATTATTTAGTTCAGACAAGTTTGTGTTTTTTTATTTATTTTTTTACTTTTTTGTGCCATTTTCCTGGAGAATTTGGATATTATTAGTAACATTTTTTACTTTACAAGAACATCACCAATTTGCAGACTGCATTTAACCTTTAAGACTGCAAACTCTGGTAGGGGTTGTAATGCAAGTAAACAGGTTGGACAAGAACAAGTATATCTTGTTGACTTCTTACGCCCTTGACTGTCTAACATGATTCTACTGGGTCCTGATGGAGGGTTCATTTTGGTGGTCATAAAAGGCTAATCTTTTTCCCTGTTTTTAAAGAGTACATTTCTTAATTTAAAAAGAGATACTGCTTCAAAACTTTCTTTATGATGGGTTATAGTAAGTTGTGGTAAACATTAGACATTAGTTCCTTGGTGATTTTGTTGTGAAAGTCCAATTTGTAACAGTAAATATTGAACAGGTCTAATATTGTTACAATGTGTGTACATGTTTTAAAATAAGCCTACATTTCAACACATTTTAGTTTCTTGTTGGGCAGAAGTAATCCTATGAATGTGAAACCTGAAAAATGCACAAGTAACAACAAATCAAAAGAATGTTTAATTGACTAGTTTAATTGACTATATTTATATATAAATATATATAAATGCACAGTAGCAGTATATGATTGTCAGTTTTGTCTAGAGCTAAATACGATTACGAGAGCTAAAAAAATAGTGCTGACATCATCAGAAACTGACATTTTGAAGAGTTACAGCCGAATGGCAGTACATTTGGTTAATTTGTGCTGTACAAATAAAACTACAAGGTTGTGGAAAACACTGTTCAATATTTTCCTAACAGTGCATGTGTGCTGAAAGCACTAAAATTCACAAAAAAGGAAAGTAGAACTGAAGAATATTCCCTTCCAAGGAATAGATGAGGTCCCTATGAGTCCATTTAAGTGTGTAGGTTTCTCCATCTTGACAAAGGTTGCCTGCCTGTTTTGCATTTTTCTCTATTACGGCATTAGTAGTATGTATACTGTCATTCAGACCATACCACACTCTCACTCAAACCGCCTGCATATGACTGTTTCTGCTAAGGGAGGAGAGAAAAGTAGTTCTCTGAAAAACAAACTCCCTCAAATGGAAAGCAGACTCATCAAATCATCTGCATATGCAAAACTTGGATTTGCTCCAGGTCCTAATTAATCCTTACAGACTCCATACTGGCCTCTCAGAGACAGGATATTATAAATTTAGACACTCTTTAAAAAAGAAAAAGAAAAAAAAGGAAGGCATTTCATGATGCCCTTAATAATTTTAGAAATAAATTTCCACCTTTGTCAAAGAACATTATGTCCTGTAAGAAGAAAAGGAAAGAGAAAAAGAGATCATTCCAAACAAGAATCATTACTATAATGCTATATATTTTAATACAATTGTATACTGTTGATATTTTCTTAACTGATGTAATTTCAAAATATATAGTGCCTTGTCTAAATAATTTTCAAAACAGCTAAAAATATCAGCTATGAATGAACTTTCCTAGCATACAATATTCTGTGAATCGCTGAAATCATTGGCTTAATACTCACAATAAAGAGGCAAGCACCCAAAAGTACAGCCTTCATTTTAACATCCATGTCCAGAGGGAACTGGATACAAAAGTTGCTGGCATCACTGATGCATTTCTTTAATAAACCACTCCGTTGTTTTGTGATTCGACCAACAGACTGTTCACCAATATTGCCTTTAACCTAAAGACAGACCTTCTTAGTGGTGCAAAAGACATGTGTAATCCTAACATCAAATGCTAAACACCTTAAAACAACTTTAAACTTATCTTGCCTGAAATAAACGTTACCTCAAAGTCTATGTCACCACAGCATTTGAATGGAAGGAAGGGTCCCTGGATCTTCAGTAGTACCTCATTATTGGGGCCCAGGATGGTGAATTTTGGTAAAAAAGACCACTCCTGTTTCACATAGCCTATGATTACTCCAGGGGGAGCCTGTACCTCAATCTGAGGGTGGAAAATGCACATCAATTAATAAACAACAAAAGAAAGTATGTCAAAAAATGTGCAATAAGCAGACAATCTAATTTATAAGGCACCTTGGAGTGACAGGTGCTTCAAGAGCACCGAATAGAAATTTATAGCAGTTTTCACATTTCTAATAGGAATGCTACATCCTCTCCAATTTAAGTGTAAGTGTATTTAAAAAAGAGTAACTGCAAAAAGTTATAGAGTATGGAATATTAAATAGTGAATCGAATAACTCAAATAGTGTTAGACACATGCCTAAGAAGCATGTAAACACACTGCTAAAAATAGAGCACTTTCCACCTCATGCTAAATCAGTTTAACCCCCGTACCACTGTCCCATAAATAGAATAAGCTCAAATCCCTGCACAGCTGCTTGCAAGCATGTTCTTCAAAACTCAACAACTAAATCATATCATATTCTAGCAAGATTAGTGTGAAATTACCCCTTCAAATTGCTATCCTCAAGCAAGCAGCTCAATCCCTCACTAAACCATCAGTCATTTTTTTTATATATATATATATATATATATATATATAGGATATACTGTATATATAGGTTTGTGAGAATTTAATCTCTTGTTGTAGATTATGAACATCCCTTCATTACAGCACATAGTTGTGACCGTTGATAAAAGCTAAACTATGCAAATCTTTAATAAGCAATTACGTAAATTGTCAATTGTCAGTCATTCTAGGTCAAAGATTGACAATTTTTTTGGTCTGAAGCCCATGCAGCATGTTGGAACTCCTTTCAACATTTGTGTTAAAATGTTTTATTTAGCTGCTATATTAGCCTTGACAAGATAAAGTCTGTTCTACCTCTTGCAGGAAGCAGCGCATTGGTCTGTGCAACTGAATGACCTCTTGGTCCATGTTGTCCTTAATATGCATTTTAAAACCGTGTGCTGGACCAAATAAATTGCGTATAAAGCAGTCACTGTCTTCTTTGGCGTGGTAGATCTCTTGCCCGATGCTGTTCTTGATCTCATACTGGTTGTTAGTCTCAAAGCCAGTTAATACTGTAGACAAGTATGATCAAAGATTGCCAGATTAAAGTATCTCTTAGGTTTAAACATAGTGAAAGTATGCAATCTTTTAGAGTGTTAACAGAAATGCTTTCAAGCATTGGCAGTGCTCTAACATACTTAATAAAAAACAAACAAGAAGGGACTATAAAGACTCACTCTTTATACACTCTATTTTTTGGTGAATAAGTATCTGGTCGATCTGAAATGCACAAAAAATAACAGGTAGTAACCAGACATCACACTTCCAGAAAGAAGTATTGATAGAATGAGACAGATAAGGCCCACCTGAGTGAAGTACTCGAGACCGGGTGGTACTCCAAAAAGTAGAACTGGTGGAGGAACTGCAGGTGCTAGAGACGTTTGTGAGGAGGATGGAGATACACAACTGATTTAATTGTATGTTGTTAAGCCTAATTTGCTTCCAACTTTAAAAGAAGTAACATTTGCATATTTAAATATTATAGAACACACTATGCTTACCTGCATATGGCTGAGCTTGGTGAAGTGCTGGGTTGCTTGGATCAGACTGTTTCAAGACTGACTGAACTGGAGGTGGTTGATTCACTGACTGAAGTTCTATGACTTCTGACTGAGGCATGGGATTTGAAAGGTTGTTTTGGACGGGATGACCTAGTTTAAGACAATAATCAAAATTTTTGATTTTATTGATTTGCGTCCTTATTTGTATTGATGTTCTCCCGTGTTCCTAGATCATTGATTGAACTGACAAAAAAGAGACAACAAAGTAAATTTGAAAATGTTAACTTTTATTATATATGAGAAAAAGGCCATTGTTTTAGTTGAACATGTGAACATCTAAATATATCATTCACATACACACTTATTCTTTTTATCTGCATATGCCTGAATCTGGTATGGTGCTGGATTACCTGAACTAGACTGATCCCTGACTGTCTGAACTGGAGGTGGATGATTGCCTGGCTGGAGCCCTGCAGATGGAGGAACCTGCCCAGGTACACCATAACCTTGCACAGGATATGCTGATATGTGCTGTCCTGGCTGAGGCATTTGGACTGGATAGCCAAGTTTAAGACAATAATCAACAATGTGTGAAAACCATGACATTTTTAGTTTTAATAATCTAGTAAATTTGACCAATAATAACGTTTTTATATCATTTCAATATCCAAATTCTTCAAATTTCTCAAATACTTTTATTATTATTATTATTATTACCTGTGTATGACTGAACCTGGTGAGGTGCTGGATTACTTGGACCAGGCAGATTCATGACTGTCTGAACCGGAAGTGGTTGATTCTGTGTCTCTAGCCCCGCGGCTGGAGGAACCAGTCCAGGTCCTGCTGTCTGAGGTATGGCACTTGGAGGGTAATTTTGGATTGGGTAGCCTACTTTAAGACAATAAACAATAAAGTGTGAAAACCATGAACTTTTTAGATTTAAAAATCTCGTTCATTTCCTTATGACATTCCAATAATAATGTTTTTTTTAGAACATTTAAACATCTAAATTTTACAAACTTCTCAAACATTCTATGTTTACCTGTGTATGACTGAACCTGGTGAGGTACTGGATTACTTGGACCAGGCAGATTCATGACTGTCTGAACCGGAAGTGGTTGAGTCTGTGGCTCTAGCCCCGTGGCTGGAGGAACCGGTCCAGGTCCTGCTGTCTGAGGTATGGCACTTGGAGGGTAATTTTGGATTGGGTAGCCTACTTTAAGACAATAATCAATAAAGTGTGAAAACCATGAACATTTTAGATTTAATAATCTCGTTAATTTCCTTATGACATTCCAATAATAATGTTTTTTTTAGAACATTTAAACATCTAAATTTTACAAACTTCTCAAACATTCTATGTTTACCTGTGTATGACTGAACCTGGTGAGGTGCTGGATTACTTGGACCAGGCAGATTCATGACTGTCTGAACTGGAAGTGGTTGATTCTGTGGCTCTAGCCCCGCGGCTAGAGGAACCGGTCCAGGTCTTGCTGTCTGAGGTATGGCACTTGGGGGGTAGTT